TTGATGTTCATACCATTAATGACGATTATTACGATCAAATCGAAGTATGTTTGGTTGAATTAATCAAAGGAGATGTGTATACTTGTCCTATAATCATATTTTGATGCGTAATCTCCTATAATCAAAGGAGATTACGTTTGAAGAAAAGAAAAAGGTGGCAGTGGATGAGAACCCTTTCCCACGGCCATTTGAAGTGAACATGGTGAAGACTGATTTCAAAAACAAGTTGCCAAAATTCAAGTTAGTCATAGATGATGGAGAAGAGGACCCTGGGCCAGACGTCCTGTGTGCAAGATGTAAATGAGAAGTGAGTGTATATACAGAGAAACCAGGGATATGGCAGCATCACCATCACCCTAATTTTTTCCCAAACGCTCAGCCTGTTAGAGGGCGAGGTACATCATTCTATAGAGGACCGCCTTTTGAGAGGCAGTTTAGGTCAATAAATAATGGGAGAACATTCAGGCCTCAACCTTCCCAACCAAATGTATGGCATTTATTCCAGTATAATGCAGGAAGGGTGATACCTTTCAACGAGATTACTAGAACCCAACAAAAGCATTTTCAACGGAATGATGGACGAATAATGAGGCAGCAATAGGGATTGCCACATCCTAAAGTGCCTAAACTACTCGAGGTGGCCAATTAAAATGTTCTCGAAGACAGTAAAGAGACTGGTACATGTGAATTGATAGAAGAACTACGAGAGAGTTCTTCTGGGAGATCGAAGTTTGAGCGAGATAGAAGGGATGAAGAAGATCCAGATCAGCCCCTTACTATTTAGTTCGGTACGTTACCTCCTGTCATAGCTAATAATTATTTACTAGTCAATGATTTCAAGAACAGAGAGAAAAAAGAAGAAGAAATGGAGGATAACGAAGAAGAAGAAGCATGTATGCTGGAATGTGAAGGAGGACAAACTTCTAGAGGGGCCTACAATGATGAAGATGATGATGGTATGACGGACATCGAAGATGAAATTGATCTGGAAGCAGAAAGAAAAAAGAGAGGAGTATCCCACAATACTCATGTTGAAGCAACTACATCGAGAGGGAGTTCATGAAGTGGACTTGTTAGGGGAACCATCTAGGCGTTCTTTCGATTATTTTGTGCTATACGGGACGCTCAAGAGGAAAATGAGAGTACATCACTCTGAAAAGTATGGATCACCTCCAAGAATATTGCCTTCTTCCATAGGTTGGGTAACTGGAGAAGAAGTTCTGGAGGGTAGTAGAAAGAGAATTCAAGAAGAAGAAGTTCGGTGTGACATTTTGCACGTTGAATTATCACGAGGAAATGAAACAGAGGACATACATGTAGTGGACATAGATGCTGCTGAGAAGGTTATATTTAAGAGGCCTGCCATGAAATTGACTAAACATTTGAGGCCATTGTATGTGAAGGTCTTGGTCAATGGTATACCTGTGGCAAAATTACTCATTGACAATAGAGCAATTATAAACATCATCCCGTCTAGAATGATGAAAAAGTTTGCAAAGGTAGAAAGTGTTATGATTCCAACAGAAGTCATCCTCACAAGTTTCAATGAAGGAGCAACTTCGGCTAAAGGAGTTGTGCCACTGGACATAACTGTAGGAACAACTACTAGGACTAGAGACTTTTTTGTAATAGATGGTCTTACTAGTTATAATGTGTTATTAGGAAGGGATCGGATATACGGAAGTCGTTGCATACCTTCATCGCTCCATCAATTCCTAGTTTTTTGGAATGACAAGGGTAAAGTAGAAGTGGTGCAGACAGATCATAGACCTTTTATCGCAGAAGCAAATGCAGTAGAAAGGTTCATATACGAAAAAAAATTATGGACCAGTTAGAGTAGTCCAAGATGGAGAAGAAACTCAAATTGTTGCACAGAGTGAAGAGCCATTTTCAGTAGATGCACTTACTGAAATGTTCAGTCAAATGAGGCCAAACATAGTGGCCCTGGAGAAGCCAGTAATTGGCAAAAAAGTAATCAAGGAGTTTTAAATGAGTTGTAAACAACAAAGCAAATGGCTGATGTTCAGGATCGAAATTCATTGCATATAAGATGAAGATGCAATAGATTGAAGGACAGAGATGAAAAGATTCCTTAAAGAACCTAAGTGGGTAGAAACGATACATTTAAAGGAGA